TCATCACTAATTTGTAAATAAACATTATTTCATCAATTTACATGGATTTTTATCATTTCTTTTTAATTTGCTACGTCATTAACTTGATGGATACACGAAATATGAAAATTCTGAGGCAATGAATGGAATGGACTCTGGCAGTGAAGGACAGGAGCGGGTGTAAATCAATGAAAGAGGTATCCGTCCTGCAGGACCTAACAGGCTGTTGATAATAATGATGCTACGTCTTGTTTACAGCAAGAATCACGCCACACACCAATCATCACCTAAAGTCTCGAAGCAGCGATGCTAGAATGTTAAACGTCGTGCGTGGTTGTCATGGTGGTTAAAGCTTGGGTTTAGGGCACGCATTCCTGCAGCAGGCACGTAATCAAGAAAAACCCGGCGTGGAGGCTTTCTAAGGCGTTGTACTGTTGAACCCAAGGACGTGTGTTCGATCCTAGCCGCGGTGGCTGTTCTCCTGACGGAGGAGAAAAACGAAACAAGCCATGTGTCGGCATTTCGGCTGACGTTAAAAATTCTAAAGGGATCTAAATTAACCTGCAGCCCCCCGCTATGGCGAACCTCAGAGCGGAAGTGTGGCTTCGGCCCGTTAAACTCCCAAATTTTAATTCTGACATTGTGAAAAAAAAAGTGCGTAGTGTTTTTCGCACCTCGGAACCGCAGTCGACATGACCGCTGCATTAGCGAAACCACTTTGAACATTTAAACGGCAGGAAAATAATACGATGTCAGTTGCTTCACGCCCTGCACACTGATAAGATGCCCCAAAAGAAGTGTCGTGCATTGCATGTCGCGAACGTTGCATAATTTCTGGCATTTCAACAATTGCGCTCTGGCTCTCTACTTCGGCGCGCAAAGGAGTTTCAGGATGGATGGATGGATGGATGGATGTGGCTGTACCCTTTAGATCAGGCGGCGGCTAACGTCACCTAGCCGTAATACTTAGTGAACTAACCATTACATTTATCTTTTTTTTCCTTTAAATAATGAAGTTGAGGATTCGTACTTCGCAGTGAAGGGTTTAATTTTAACTCGGTCGTTGACTTTAGCCACCAATCAGATAACCTCCTTCTAGTTAAGTTTACCCGCTTAAAGTCTATTTTGCCCTCGCTGTCCCTAAATCCCAGTGCTTTGAAAAACTCTGCGCCATCATCCTGAACTATAGGGTGAAGCCCTTTACAGAACATTATCAAGTGTTCGGCAGTTTCTTCTTCCTCTCCACACGCACTGCATACTGTGTCGACCCCTTCGTATTTGGCCCGATATGTCTTGGTTCGCAGTACTCCCGTCCTGGCCTCAAACAGTAGAGAACTACCCCGAGTATTATCATAGATCCTTTCCTTGGCAATTTCCTGCTTAAAAGTTCGATAGATCTCTAGTGCGGACTTCTTAATCATGCCCTTTCTCCACATGTCAGTCTCCGTTTCCTTCACTTTTTTCTTAACCGATAGTTCTTTTTGGTTTGGCCACCTGCTGTTTTCTAAGTATTTACCAGTCAACTTCCTGGTTCGCTTCCTCCATTTTGTATCGACGTTCTTCATGTACAAGTAGCTGAAAACCTTCCTAGCCCAACGCTCTTCCCCCATTTCTCTCAATCGCTTCTCAAATTTTATCTTGCTGCTAGCTTCCCTGCCCTCAAATGATGTCCATCCCATATCACCTTGTACTCCCTGATTTGGTGTATTCCCGTGAGCTCCTAAAGCAAGCCTACCTATTCCACGTTGCCTAATTTCTAATCTTGCTTGAACTTCTGATCTCATGCACAAGACCGCATTGCTGAACGTCAGCCCAGGAACCATGACCCCTTTCCATATTCCTCTCACAACATCATACCTATTGTAATTCCACAGTGCCCTATTTTTCATGACTGCTGCATTCCTGTTACCTTTAGTCGTCACGTATATTTCGTGTTCCCTCAGATACTCGGTCCCATTGCTTATCCATTCGCCCAGATATTTGTATTTATCTGTTATCTCTAGCGTGACCTCCTGTATTCTAAGCTCACTACCTTCGTTGTCATTGAAAATCATGACTGCTGATTTTTCCCTACTGAATCTAAAATCCAACCTATCTCCCTCATTACCGCAGATGTCCATCAATCTCTGCAAATCTTCCTTGTTGTTGGCCATTAGCACTATATCATCTGCGTACATTAATGCTGGTAGTGCCTGATCAATAAGTTTTCCTAGTTTGACTAAAGAGAGGTTGAAGCCCAGTCCACTTCCCTCTAATTTTGCCTCTAATCCTTGTAGGTACATCATGAATAATAAGGGTGACAGGGGGCACCCCTGCCTAAGCCCCCGTTTTACCTCTGCAGGCTTGGATACCTGTTTTCCCCACTTTATAACTACCTTGTTACCTTTATAGACACCCTTTAAAAGATTAGTGACTACATGTTCCACGCCTAGGGTGTCCAGTATTCCCCACAATTCCTCTTGAACCACGCTATCGTACGCTCCCTTGATATCCAAAAATGCTAGCCACAGGGGCCTGTGTTCTTTTTCTGCTATTTCGATGCACTGCGTCAGTGAGAACAGATTGTCTTCCAACCTCCTGTGTTTCCGAAACCCATTCTGCAGTTCCCCCAGCACCCCCTCATCCTCTATCCACGCCTGCAGTCTTTCCTTTATAATCTGCATCGCCAGCCTGTAGACAACTGATGTCACTGTTATAGGACGGTAGTTGTTTATGTCAGCTTTGTCCCCCTTTCCTTTATAGATCATGCTCATCCTGCTAAGTTTCCATCCATCGGGAACTTCGCCATCGATTATTATTGTACTCACTGCCTCCCTCAAAGCCTGCTCAGACTTCGGACCTAATGTTTTTATCAGCCTAATTGGAATGCCATCTGGGCCTGTTGATGTACTACTAGGAACCCTTTTCTCAGCCCTTTCCCACTCTTGTTGTGAAAAAGGTGACGCTGCGAACCGCGCCGTCTCTCGGCGTCGACATGAAGTGAGTCACCCACCGCCGCCTGTGAGCACACTGCTCCTAATCTAGTACACTGTACCATCACCCTTCCTCCGTGATTCCCATAGTACAGTGCACTAGAGGGGGGCTTTGGGTAGTGTGTTCAGGAGCCGCGCGCGCCATTCATAGCAACAAAGCGGCGAATGTAGAAAGTCTCGGATGCAGGCGACGGCGCTGGAGTCGCGTGGGCTGGCAGTAGCGGCTAGCCGCGGAACGGCGGCAGCGGCTTCCTCGGCGCGTAAACAGCTGTCGGTGTGCATGGGTGTCGTTTGGTTTTTTGAAGTTTGAGCAGAAATGGCGAAGCGGAAACGCCAACGCCACTGCTTTGCCCCGGGGTGCCAGACAGGATACAAGTGGACGAAAGGTCGGCAGCCGTCCCTGTTTTCTGTGCCAAAAGACGACGAGAAGCGAAAACTGTGGGAGTGCAACTTGCACCGGCAAGACAAGAGCCTGGACGAAACATGTGCCGTGTGTGAGCTTCATTTCGAGCCGTCGTGTATTATCCCAGACTATGTGCACGTTGTGAATGGAGAAGTGCGGATCCCGCGTGAGAAACCGGAGCTCGCCCCTGACGCGGTACTCACGGTATTGCCAAACGCTCCGGCGTATTTGTCAAAAAAAGCAACGCAGCCGCGACCGCCTAGGAAAAGGTTGAACAATGACGCCCCTTCCCCAGTCGCCACGAAGAGATCCAGAACTTGCGCCCATGAAGAAGCCGGCAATTTGGATTCAAGTAGTGTCTGCTCGACTGGTGTAATGTCAGAACCTGTGCCCACTGTTTGCGGGGCATCATCCGCTCCCAAATATCTACTGGCCCTTAATGTGCCCTCCATATATTGGAGTTGCCATCGTGTGGCTCATCGCACATTTCCTCTCTACTGCAAGCTGAAAATGGATGGAAATGGAATTGCATCAGAGAGAGTATAGTTATCTTTTCACACGACGGCGAGGATAACCAGCCCGGCGTCGCCTACACTGCCTACCTCTGGGTTCGAATGGCAGAAAAGGGACACGTCGCTGGACCTGAAGAAGCCGAGGATGTTCTACGAAACGTTGACTCATGCGCTGCGTGCAAAGGTGCCTTGTCAACAAAAAGCATGCAAAAGTGTGACCTGACAAGAGGACTGCAGGAGCAAGTGACTACCCACGAAGGCACCTATTTCAGCAAGCGCTGCGTAGGAAAAGGGCCATCAGAAGGTACGATTCATTGTTGCTAATTGGTTATGTGAATTATTGATTAATTGCTTAAGCTTTCAGCATCAAATATGTTAGTCTAGATGAGTGTACACTACGTCAGCAATGTCTCATTTTGTTACTGTGTTTTTGAGGTCAAGCATGCATCTCTTGCAAATACCTCAGAAAGGCCCTTTTGACGAGGCAGTCAAGGCTCAAGAGGTCAGTCAGGAGGCATGTCGTAAGCACTTCTCAGAAGCTCCGTTCAGCCAGGCAAAAGATCAGGAGGCTGTCGTCTCGATCAGGAGACAGTATCGGCTGCTCGCAGCATGAAGATGACCTCACAACTGAACTAATCAAGTTTTATGTTCTGACAAGACTTCATTTTTATGTGAGAGGACTGAATCAGTCACGAGCAGATCGCAGGAAGAAGAAACTGCACGGGAAGATCAGTCGTTGCTCATGAGTGTATTGCTTTACCTGTGAAATGAAAAGTTCGCATTGGTTACGAGGACCTTGCTTTTTTTTTTTTTTGCGCCATCTCAGCTTGTAGTCGCGCTAACAGCTAACTTTTGTTTGCGGGGTTTAATAGTTAATTGCTTAGCGGTAGCTGGTCGGAGTTTTTTTCCCCAAACCGGGGAGAGCCATTTTTAACGAAAATCAGTTGAATAGTAATTGCTGCGCAAATTCGCCGCGGTTCGCATAGCCGCCCGAGGTCGGCCGCCGCCAACGCGTATGGTTGATGCAGCCGTTGCGCCACCTCGCGGCGTCGACGCGTAACGCGTCAGCCGACAACCTTTCCTGCGCACACTACCCAAAAGCCCTCTAGTGCACTGTACCCATAGATGCTGTACGATCGCAGCGCCAAAGATCCCTCTAGTTAATTTTAGGAGTTCGTGTACAAAACACGTGTTTTTGTGTACATTCACAAAATGGTGTCTTTTGGGACTTGTGTGCTGTGAACTGGATTTATGTAGGTACGTTTTGTGAGTGTGTGTGTACCTGAACATTTCGTGGCAACTTGACTTGAAGTCATGGCATTGGCCTTCAGCAGCAGTGATCAAGCCGCCATCGATCGCACCGTCGTTCTGTCTGCCGACGACGTCAAACCGGCGGCTGACGATAGGCAAATCGAGTGCCAGTACGAAGTGAAGCGTACTGTAGCCTGGATCTGCGAAAACGGCTTCAAGAAGGTAACAATTTCTTTCTCTTGAAGTGAGTGGGTTGTGATCAGCGGCGATCCCTGTTCACTGAGACTCGAAGTTCGAAATTATAACTTCGTATGCGTGGTTCGTCGTATGACAGTTCTTTCCGCACGCTTGGGCAGCACCGTGGAAATTAGCCACGACGCGTGATGTGTGGACTTAATCAGCTGCATACACCCTTTTTCAGGCTAAACAAGTACTTGTTGCAGTACGAGAGAGTGTTTGCTGACGGGCACATATGTAGCGCTGAAGCACACTCTCAAAAGAAACAGAGCAGGAGCTGGCACAGTTAAGCTGTCGAGGCTTTCATACCCGGGGGCCGTCGTAGATTGGAAAAGCGCACGTGCCACTGGTGCTTCCGGCTCCCACCATTCGCCACTACTACTACTCCCCATTTTCAATCACTTCTACTTCATTAAACTTGTGTAGGCAATGACTTATTTGTTAGCCAAAAGCTTCGCTAGTATCCGCTACGCGCAGCTGGTTCAATCTATACTACGGTATTTGTCCGTGAGCCCCTTTAGCATGCGCTGGGTTCCCAATGCGTCCCTAAAAGAAGTAAAAAAATACATTTGTTAGGAACCAAGCTCGTTATGGTCGAGGCGTTGGCGTTGTGCGCCGTAACCGCTGCCGACCGTGATGATCACGAACAGCGACGGGCTTATTAAGTAGATGAGGTCTCGATAAGCTTTCCGAAGCGTTTCGTATGACTGGTAACAACAGCGCCATCATCATTGCGCGCCGTAGCCGTCGCTAGTGACGATGACGATAAAGAACACATTCTCTTTCTGCCATCAAGGCACAGCACATGCAAGTTACCCACTACACGTCATGGTGATGACAATGAAGAACAAGACAAGCACATTCCAGACCAAAAATTTGGTCTGGAAGGAAGGAAAGAAGTGCCTGGAAACTGTGGCACACACCCACGCTGGGGGATTGGCCAAGAACCGGGTAGTTCTGACTAAATACTAGTAATTTGTTAGCTCACAGTTTTTAAACTATAGAAAAGGGCAAAAATTAAATGAGAAATATACAATTAGAAATAATGAATATACAAAACGAAGCAGATGGTTTGACCAACAACAATAAGTAAATAAATGAATAAAGAAATTGGAAAAAAATGGGTAATTTAGGAGTAATAATAGGTTCTACAGTCTGAATCTTTTTGAAGCTTTGATAAACTTCTGCAAGGCATCGGCAACTTTCCCGTCAGTGAATCCAAGAGACAAAGCCCCGAAAGAGTACATTTGGAGTGGTCAGCTCCAATCCTACGAGATGGAAGACTGCATCTAATGTGGTTTCGTGCAATGCAGCCTATTTTTTTACAATATATCAGATAATGTTCCGACGTCTCAGAGACTCCACAAAACCAACAATAAGGGGAAGCAGCCAGACCAGCTCTGTGTTAATAAAAATTTAGATATGGAGTATGACACCTCAGCCTTGTGACTGCGACTTCAACTGTACGCGTGTCACACAATTTACTGTTCCAACGAAAATTTTAATGTGTTTATTATGGATGACAAAAATTTCTTCTAACATAATTTTCCTTCTAAATCCAACCCCTACAATGAATTTAGATGCTGGAAGTATGTGAATAACTGGGCCATTTAATGATGACTTAGCTAATTCATCCGCCATTTCATTGAGGAAAATTTCCTTATGCCCTGGTACCCAAACCAATTCAACCAACTGTATATATGGTGGAACTAATGATTTAAAAGTCCCCAGCATGTGGGAGCTGTCATTTGCAGTGAGAGAAGAACACACCGACAGCGAATCAGTTAAAATTATTGCCGAACTAGTTGGTGCAATTAATTTGCGGAGAATCAAAATTATCGCAAAAAACTCTGCTACGAAAATGGGTACAAAATCTGAAATGCGTAGAGAAAATGACCAATCTAGAGTAGGAGCAAATATCCCAATTCAAAATTTTTTTTAATTTTGCAATGCATCTGTCGCAGTGACTGACCTTATCGATGGATGAACCAGATAATCACTCAGAATAGAACTTGAAGTGAGGTTCAAGATTAGTTTCACTTGTATTGGAAAAATTTTGTCAAACTGTATTTCAATGGAGCTGTTGCTGTCGCTGATCGGAAATACGGCACTTATTTAGACATTTAAGTTGTCAAGGAAGCTCTGTATATGGAGAACTTGATGTGTGTGAAATCTTGGCCAATATGCTTTAAAGAACAATTCAGGTTGGGAGATAAAAACTGTTTCAAAATGCCTTGCTGAGGACTCATAGAGTTTTAAAAAATATGGTACCGCCATTAATTTGAAACATGAATCAAGTGATGGGAGTCTAGTTCCACATACAAGATTGTATGAAACTGGTTACAAAATGGTTACAAATTTAGGAAGACCTAATCAAAGGCGCAACGCTTGCCTCTCAAGCATTACAAGCGAGTGAAGCTTATAAGCAGGAGCGCCAGCGTATACTATGCATCCAAATTCCAGCACCAGTCGAACGTACATGCAGCATATTGAGAAAAGGGTTTGCCTTCGCATGACAAATCGACTATGACTAATCTTGCGTAACAAACCGACCTCTTGAACACCCTTTACTGATATGTATTCGGTGTGTTCCTTCCAAGACGAGGAGCGATTGTATAGCACACCATGGTATTTTATTTGCTCAACTTGTGGAATACACTCTACATGATAATAAAGAGAAATGTGGATGGGGTCTTTCAAAGGAAATGGCAGTATGGAGCATTTTCGCACATTCAGATGCAGGTGTATTTCATTAGGCCACCCTTCTAGAGCTGATAAGTATGACTGTAGCACCTAATATAGATTGTGAATATTGTCGGCCGCAGCGAAAAATGCGATGTCATCCGCATAAACATGTGTATACGTTCTGATTTCGTGGTATAGAACTCATTAGTATATTAAATAATACAGGAGAAAGGACTGCCCGTTGTAGAACACCTCGTGTTTGCGCATACGTAGACGAAGAAATACTGCTTTGGGAACAAAAGAATGTCTGATTACACGAAAATTCCTCAATCCATGCCGTAATGTAATTTGGAAGCTTCATGTTGTGCAACTGCTTATCTAAAACTGCATGCTCAACGCTGTCATACGCTTTTGCGATGTCCAACGTTACTAATGCGGCATACTTTCTTTCACGACGAGCTAACCCAATCCGACTCTTAAAATCTATATGTGCATGCCATATCGAGCACCTTGATCTGAAGCCAATTTGAGACAGATTTGGAATATTTTTCTCAATAATGAACTTTATTATCGGATGTTTAACACTCGCTCAATCAGTTTCACAAAATTGGAGGTTAGCCCAATGGGCCTAATGTTGTCAATTTCATATCCTTTATCTGGTTTTTTAAGCAGTGCTATCACCTTAGCTATTTTTCAAGCTGAAGGGAGCCATGCCAATCTTATTGAGTAGTTGATAAACCTCCAATAAAATCTCTCGATATTCTTCATTTAGCAATTTTAACATGGCCGACGTGACTCCATCAGGGCCCGGAGCTACTGATGGAATGCTATCTACTATCTCTGTTAATTCATAACTGGAAATTTCAATGAATTCGTTGTCACATGGGGTGTGCTTTGGCGGTGAGGATAACCATGAAGGCACAGTGCATGCAAGGTACCCACTATACTTCATGGTGATGACAATAGAGAACAGGGGCATTCCAGACCACACATTTTCTTTCTGCCATCAAGGCACAGCACAAGCAAGGTACGCACTATTCGCAACTTTCACGACCTATTCGCCCCTAGGTCGAGCGGAGTCGTCGCCTGGTGGCCACTGGCTGAAGCGCACCTAGTGTGGATTGCTCCCAGCGTCGTCTGCTATCCACATAGGCTAGCACGTGCGCATACATCTTGCTCGCGCTCAAAGGGCGGTTTGTCTCACGCTGTTAGCGCAAGAGTAACTGCTTGTATGTTTGCCTAGCACTGTCTACAGAAGCATTTGGCCTTACTTGCCTGTATATGTACCGCAATAAGATGAGGTCGAGCTTTTGGCGAAAGTGATGTGTATCGTTGTCGTAGCCTATCTTCGCCAGGATCATGTCAGTGTAAGTGCCGCTTTTTAGCTGAAGCCCATCGTAAAGTGCACTTGGGGTCACCCCAAACATGAGGAATAATAAATATTGTGTGAATGCAAGGTTTTAGCGACTCAAAGATAAAGTTATGCATTGTTGTTAGGTGTATTGTGGCTTTCTTGCTTATCGGTTTCTTGCGACGAGCCTTAATTGTGTTTGAGATAACCTTGTATTGTACGGTCCTAGTCTCTTGACACTGCTGTATAGTAAATTCTGACATTTGGCTACTTCAATTGAATGACATGGAGCTGATTAAACTTGAGTTGCCGTGCGCAATTTTAGCATTGGGCAATATATTTATACAGACAGACCCGTGTTCTTATCAAAGGTGAACCCTTGGCAGAAGTCTGTCTGGTTGCAATAGAAATGAGGCAATGATAAAACTCTAACCAAAAATTGTGTTCAGAAAACTAACATTTCAAAGCCAGACCAAGCGCTGACTCAAGCATTGTAGTACAATTTTTGGTTGGAGTTTCCTGATTGCCTCACCCTTGTTTTTATATTTGGGTTCGCTTAAAAGAGGCTAGATTGTCAAAATTAATCCAGACAATTAATCCAGCCTCACATATGTCGTAAAATTTCAAGGAGAACCTCACTTTTTTTTTTTTCACATTATCTTGAGCGCTTTTGGGGCATTGTGCTAGGCAGACGGAAGAGTGGACACACATTCGCTTGAAAAAAAAAAAAAACTTTGTTCCTTCGATTAATCAAACCTTTCCATCACTTTGATGCAGATAATCAATATAAGAAAGCTGCGGGCTGAAATATTACCTTTTTATACTGTTATAGGAGTAAGAACAAGTGCGCTTAAGTGCTGTAAATCACGTAGCTTTCCTGAATAAACTTACCGACTGTCCTATGTTTATTCTATGAAGAAATGATTAAGACGAATAGGCGGAATAAGTA